TGCTGATACATTTCTAATAACTAAGATTCCCTGAATAATTTACAATTGTACATGACACTGTTTTTGGAGTTCCCACTCTTACTTTCATGTATAATTCCTTCAGGTGGCTACAAAACCGATAATTGTGTACCCCAATAGTGGTGAAAGCTATGATGCTGATAGAAAGATGTGGGTGGTAAGTTAAACTTCTTTAGCTGCATGAACACTGCATTGGAAATTACTTTGCATCTTGTTTTCGATAAAAAAATTCCGTTATCATCTGGAAGATGGAATTATTGCAAGCAATCGCTAACTCTGTTTACTTCTTTTTTCCCGCTGCAGCAAAATACTGGTGTTTCAGATGAAGATTTTGTCTCGTATGTAAACAAATGGTGTGAGGTAGGGGCTTCCCTTGTAGGAGGCTGTTGCAGAACAACCCCACAGACTATCAGAGCCATATACAGGACCCTTCCCAATAGGTCAACAACTCCACCGGAGCAGTAACCACATTGACTTCACGGAAAGAGAGCACCCAGCATCTATTGAGCAAGACTACGAGAAAGGCTTGTACTCGAGTCTGAAAATGGCTCTTCCCGTGTGTGATGGGGGAAGGAGACCTGGTAGGTGCCGTCAACAAATTTGTCATACCACTTGACGCTTGCGACGTTCTTTTGGCTATTCAGTTGCGGATGGATACATGCATGGACAGATCCAAGAGTTTCAGTTTGCATGCAACTGTGCTTGTGCTTAATCAGAGCAGTTATTTGTTGAATACTGACTCCTTGTACATTATAAGCCAATTTTATTGCAACTCTTTCATTCCAATTATGTACTCAATAGTTAACGTTTATTGTCCAATGCCCAAAGGCATAAGAATGATGCATGTGCCAAATGGTGAAGCAACAATTAAGCAAAGCGGAAGAGATTGTGATCCAAGAAACCGAGAAATTCTCATATTACAATTTAACATAAAATGATGAGGTGAAAGTACAGCAGAGGTCTTAAGTATCAAAACCAGAGTAAACACCACTCTCCCTCAACAACCTCTTCTCTTCTTCAACATAGTTCTTTCCCCTGCTTGCCTGACCAAGCTCTCTTTTCCTCTTCTCCTTCTGCGAAAACGACAGGTTTTTCTTGTCATTCCGCGTTAGCACATGTTCTAGCTGCTCCCCGGAGGCCAATGCAGCCCTCGTCTTCTGTCGTTGTTCATAAGATTCTTCTTCTCCTTCAGTTCCCTTCTTGGTTCCTCCATTAGCACCCTCTTTATTGTCCTCCCTACCCGTAGACCAAGACCAGTTTGGCTCCTTCTCGGGCTCTTTTGGTGGGGGCACGCTCAGCACAGACGGCCCACCTTTGTACCCATATTGCTTCAATGCCTCAAAGTCCACAACTTTGCTCTTTCGCTTCCCAGATATCACTGCATAAAACAGAGTGTGCAGGCAGCTAAAACAAATTCAATAAACAATAACAAAACCAACACACACACACACACACACACACACACACACACACACACACATACGTATGCGTGCATGTTTCTTTTGGTTTTGAACATAGCATACCTTGTGATGCTGTTTTCTTGGAGGGTTGGCCTTGCCCAGCTTTTCTCTTGCCAACTCCATCGTCGCCTTCAGACTCTGAATGTGAATCCGATGAATCACTATCCTCATCACTCCATGGCATTGTCCTCTTCATGCTGAGCAAGAATTGGGTATGCTACCTCCTAATTAGGGTTTCTAGGGCTATGGAAATTTGGGAAATTGGAAACCCCCAAATTCCAAAAGGGGTTTAGAGACTCGCACAGCGAACCAGAGAGAGACCGTATCGTGCGTAAATTTGTATCCATCCTATCCGGATCATGGGCCTCTGGTTCCCAGGCCCATTAATAGTTCCCAAGCCCGCCCAATATAACTTAAAGAGACACGGCGTCGTTTTAGGTTGGCTTCTTCTTCGTTCAAAGAGTGGGAAAACGAGGGAGGGTTCCCAAATTCGCGGAATTGCAGAGAGGTGTTTCAAATCAGTGGCGGCGAACGGCTCTGTAAGTAGCGCTATTGGTTTGGTTTTCATTTGCTGTTGAAGCATGATATAAATTTGAGCAGCCAAAATATGAGTCCAATTTTCCTGTTTCCGCCAGCCAACCCCACCACCACCGCCCCTCCGCTCTCTCTCTCTCTCTCTCTCTCTATCTCTCCAGCCCAACTCCACCCTTCCCCTGCTTACAGCCAGCCAACCGAAACAGAGAACCACCCCACCTTCACCCTCAGCCCCAACCACTGGTCTGGTCCAGGAGATAGAGGATCAGATTTCAGTTTCGAGCCCTGGGACTTGCTAGGTTTTATTCATTTCTAGTTCTTTCATCTTTATCTTTCTGAAGTTTTGATTTTTTGTTTTAGGAATTGGGTTTTGTTTGTGTAGTGTAGTGATGGAAATTGTTTTCCAAATTCGCTTTTTTGGGGTTTGTTGAAATTTGAAAGAGATGTGGGAAACACTGAAAACGTATTTGTTTTTGTTTTCGTAATTGTGTTCTGAGAGTGACAGCCTTGAACTGAGTCAAAAAATTTGTTATAGAATTATTTCTGGAAATTAAAAATGAGAAAATGGGGAAGAGATGATTTTTCTTCTTTTCCTTTAATGGGTTTCTTATAATTCCTGCATAGTGACTTAGAACCCTGGTCATCTGAAATATGGGATTATTATTAGTATAAAAAAACCATGTAATCTAATGCATCTATCTCCTGGACCAGACCAGTGGTTTGGCGGGGGGGTGGAAGGTGGGGTGGTCTGTCTGGGATGGCTGGTGGTAAGCAGTGAGAGGATGGAGTTGATCGGAGAGGGCTTAAGTCGGAGGATGGGGGTTGGCTGGGTGGGATGGTGGGAGTTGGACTTAACAGAGTTAACATGGTTATAATTGTTGTTAAGCGGTTTGCCACATGTCAAAAAGCTAGGAGGGAACAGGGTGGGCACAGGGTATTTGGTAACAGGAAAATTGGACTCCCAAAATATGCAGAACGTAAACATTGTATATTTTTTGTTAGATTTTGGGGTATGTCTGTTTAGCTGAATCCTTCATGGTTGCGTGAAATTTTGGTCCAGGCAATTTGAACCCAGTTCTTTGTTATGGAAACTAAGGCTGATGGTGTAGATGGCTCCCTTATTTTGATCAAGCAAGGAGCTGAAGCTGTGAGTCACTCTACAATGGGTTGTATGTGCATCAGTTTATGTTAAATTGCATAAAATTGGGCTAAAAAGTTTCAAAATTTCTCCTTTTTCAGAGAGTTTTCGAGTCTAGCTTTGTAGGAAGGAGGTCTATTGTCAAGGAACGCTTCTCAAAAAAATACAGGCACCCATCTTTGGATGCGAAGCTTACACTCAAGCGCCTCAATGCAGTATGTTTTTGTTTTTCCTTCTTCAAGAGTTTTTGCACTTCCCTATCTGATTGTCTGAGTTTTCCCTAAATTGACCTTTTGGAGCAGGAGGCCAGGTGCATGACAAAAGCAAGACGACTTGGTGTCTATACTCCAGTGCTTTACTCTGTAGACATTGTGCTGCATACCCTAACATTTGAATATGTGGAGGGTCCTTCTGTCAAAGATATATTTCTTGAATTTGGGTTACGCAATGGTGGTGTTGTTGAAGAACGCATGGATGATATTGCAATGCAGATTGGTCACGCAGTTGGAAAACTGCATGATGGTGGTCTCATTCATGGTGACCTGACCACATCTAACATGTTGATTAGAGCTGCTACCAACCAGTTGGTGAGTTATTTACTTTGTCTTGTGTTCATCCAATTTATGCTGGAGTGCTTTAACCTTTTTTGTGGGGTCAAGTGAGAGTGCTTTGACTAATTTGCATCAAATTCACAATTTTTTTCTCCAAGGTTGTTATTGATTTCGGTCTGAGCTCGACATCAACCCTTCCAGAAGATAAAGCTGTGGATTTGTATGTTTTGGAACGAGCTTTGCTCTCAATGCATTCTTCATGTGGGAATGTGGTAAGCCGAGTCTTTCTTTTTTCAATTGTAGTTTGCTTTTTGGAAAGATGTCTTTCTTTTCATTAATTTGTAATTTTTTTTTCAAGAGAATGAAAAAAATTATAATTCATAAATGACTTAACAGAGTTCTAACAAATTGTCTTTTCCTGAGACATTCTTCTTAGTGTAGTTGACAAAATGCAAGTTCTTAGCATATATTTTACATATTTTCCAATCAATTTCAAAAAAATTGATGAATTGTCTTTTAAACTATCTCCAAACAGGAAATTGAATGAATCAAATTTATTCTCACACTTAATTCTTTGTATAGATGGATCGGATACTTGCTGCGTATCGGAAGTCCTCAAAGCAGTGGTCGTCCACATTAAACAAGTTAGCTCAAGGTGCAATTTTGCCGTACTGCTTTATCTAATTTTTTTCTTTTTTCCTGGAGTCTGATATCTGAGTGTGGCTTTAGAGTTCCATTCTATTCTTGTTTTTCCCCCTCTTTAGTTTTCTTAATAGTTCACAACTTTTACAGTGAGACAACGAGGCCGAAAGCGCACCATGGTTGGATGAGAGCTTCTTCACCTATCATTCATATTAGGATAAGCAAAACAAGAGTCTTTGCCCGGTGACAGATGCAACAAATATATATTTGATATCTTCGTGTAATTTTTAGATGCACAATATGAGCATGTTTGTTAGAATGCATTGTATAACCGGTTACCAGTCGAATGAGCATCTCCTTGTTACTTACACGTATTGCAACATTGAATTCAGTTGAAATTTAAGTTAGCTTCTTCTTTTTTCTTTTTTCTTTTTTCATGATATTTTCAGTTGAGACACCTCAATGATCAATTGGATACTGCTTTATACTGGAACCTAGGCAGTCTTTGATCCTAGAAGACCTAAAAAAACATGGAATATTTCTGTTTTTATGATAAAGACTCGAATTGTGGCCGGAGATCTGATCATTTGAGAAAAGGTCATGCTTTATATCTTATGCGCATAACACAAAACCCGGTCATGCCTTGCTTTCTGCCTACCCCAACTCACACTTGTAACTTTTGAGTTGAGAATTTACGTTCAAATTGTAATCCCACTTCACATTTTTCTCAATTTCTCAATTTCTCTGTCACAGTGTTACAAATGGATCATTCACTGTACAACACCCATGTAAAACTCTTAGCCTTCGACCTCCTCACTCTCTCCCAAACCTCATCCCCCTCCTCTTCCTCAGACCCAGTTTCCTTCTCTCGCAATGGCGCTCTCCTTTCCCGCGCCGAGACCGTGGGCACCGTCACGTCCCGTGACCTCAAACCCAACAAGTTCCTCCGCTTTACTATCGACGACGGCACCGGCTGCGTCAACTGCATCCTCTGGCTCAACCAGCTCTCTTCCCCCTACTTTTCGCGCCGTAACCCGGCAGATGTTCGACTTATTGCCCAAACGGCGCAGCACTTCGCGGCGGAGATTAAGCTCGGAGTGGTTGCCAGGGTGCGCGGGAAGATCACGAGCTATAGAGGCGTTACGCAGATCACTGCGTTGGATGTTGTCGTTGAGAGGGACCCCAATGTGGAGATTTTGCATTGGTTGGATTGCATGAGGTTGGCGCGAAAAGTTTACAATGTCGTTCCTCCATACAAATAAATGTAGAATTCAAATTGAATCTTGATTAAATGGGTTTTTTGTTTTGATTTGTATAAGTTGGGTTTTGCAATTTGTGAGTTTGTAATTTGTACAAGTGTGGCTATGGATATTGTTAACCAATAACATCCCTCTTTCTTCTTTTTCTTCTTTATTCCATCCTCCTCTGTTTTTCTCTGTTTGAGTTCAAAACCCAAGTGAAGTGTCCTTGGTTTTTTATAAGTTTTCATCTTTCACGCGATGAGGTTTTTCCGTACATTGGTTTCTGAAGAAATGACCAACCAACCACAGAAAACAATTAATCACAAATTTGGAAGTGATGTTGACTCCAAATCTACACTAACGTATAAAATAATTCATCTGTTCGATGCATACATTTATGGCTAAGCAATTAACATTCATTTGGGAATTAGTGGAGAAAGAGATGTATGTCTTTATATACAAAGATGGTCAAGAAAATGGGAATGTTTACAAGCAGAAAAACTAAGGTGGAAAAGTTATCCTGCTTGTCATTGCGTTATTGACCCAAGATTGCTCTCCTCGTTGCATGAAAGTCTCTCTCGTCTACAAGACCACTTTGCTCCCACATTTGTCAAAGTATGGTCTCACCTCTTTCATGGCTTGAACTACCATTTCCAGTATTAAAAAGGCTGGGAGAGGAAGACAAAATGAAGAAATGATGAAAGAATAGACAAAGACCTCAAAGATTTGATGGGCAACAAGAAACAGCATGGATGGTGATTAAAGCTAGGGAAATGAAATGGGGAAGCAAAGACAGTACTAGTGACAAGATCTTCTCCGCGACAATAAAGTGGATGCAAATTTAATACAAAGCAATGTGGGTTTTCCCATCCAAAAGTGAAAAACTTCACATCAATATCAACAAGTCAATTTCTTATAGTTTACAATTTTTTGAGTGAAATATTTAATGGTATCCCCTTGGGAATGTTGTACTACAAGAACCACAAGTCACTCTTGTAACTCTTAAATTGGCGAAGGGTCCTATTTGTTAGGAAAAAAAAAATGTTGAATGTTATAAATTGGGCTCATAAAATCCTCCTCCATGTCAAAGCTTAGGGTTGGGCTTCGAGCCTTTATACTTGGGCAAAATTTTCTTTTTGAGTATAAAAACCAGTAACTTTTGAAATACGTTTATGTGGTCATACACAGTATGCACACACATAGATGTCGGTGAATGGAAGGACAGAGAGTCTACATCAGAAGCCACATCACCAAGTACTTGAGGCCCAAACCCAGAGGTGCTTTGGAAATGCCTCTTTCTGTTTTGGCAGACGAAGAGAGAAAAAATGACCATAGAATCGAGAGAACAACAAAGCCCATCACAAAGATACCCAAAAAGAAAGAATTTGAAAAAAAAAAAAAAACCGAAAGCCAAAATTGACACGTTAAATTTGGAACTTTGTTATGAGAAAAAAACTGTTTGGGCAAAAGAGAAGAGGGGGGTGGTTTTAGAAGAGGTTTCTAAAGCTGATAAAGCAAAAGAAACCGAATGAAAAATCATGTTCTCACTAAGAGAAGAAGATACTTTGCCCAAAGTACAAATCAAAGATCATCCTTTGACTGCCTCGTTGTTTGTCTGTCTATGATTTTTTTCTTCTTCATGATCCTAACACCAGTTGAAATACTGTGTTCTTTCTTTAGAGTTAAAACCAATATCCATTTATTTTATAGATGAGAAATTACTTCTTTTGTGTTTCTTTAGTATTTTTGAGAAGTTACTTCTTGTGAATGACTTATAATTTCAACGATAGAGCATTTATTTTATTTTCACCGTTAGAGTTAAACTTTAGACCTCGTACATTTCATCATTGAAGAAAATATTGTAAAAAGATGAATCACAACTTGATCTATTTCTTTGGTATTTGCCAAAGTGACCAAATTTTCAAAAACAGGGTATTTTGATGGTGGGACATCAGATTGAGGGAGAGAGATTCCTTGGTATCGATTTTTTGATGTAAAATTTGACCAAGTTTTCTCTAATAATATGAAGTTTGCAGTTGATGTCCGACGTGGCATTTTGCTAATGGATAAGGTACAAGTTCTGTACAATAAAGGAGATAGGGAAATCATATATTACATTCATAATATCATGAACTGAATCCAATTATATGGTGTCCTCTAAGATCCCACTTTGCTAAACAAATTTGTGTGGAAACAGTTCTCACTAATAAAAAAAGAGCATTTGATCGAGTTTGTAGGGTAGCATGTCCCTTCTTATGACCTTTAGCCCATAACTCTTTCATAAATTTGGCATTACTCTTTCTCATGCTATTGTACCAATCCCAGGGTGCTGCCATTGTGACATGCATTAGCCAAACTTAGGGTCCTACAGTCACCAGAGTAATTTGTTAACTTTGTGGTATAATCGAAGATCAGCAGGTGTTGAGTTTGACGGTGAACCACATATATCAATACATTGAACATGTCAATATGCCAAAGGCCACGTTGGTGTAAAAGGAAGACTTTCGTATGACAGCTATCTGTCTTTAGACAAGTCTTTGACAACATATATTGGGGACTGGTTGGCTGTGATGGTAGTGGAAGCTTCACTAGGGAAGTGGATTGAATGGGGTTTGTAAGGGATTCCCATTTGGCATTTGCCTGTTTAGCTTAGTAAATTAATCCTTGAATATGCTGATTGATGCAAAGAGCCTTGAAATGTGAACAATTAAGAGTATGATAAGGGAAGTAGACACAGTCTCCCACATGTAGCATGTGTGATTAGGATTAGTCAATTAAAGAAATCAAGCCCGGAGAGCTTAATCCAAGAAATTACTTTGTTCAAGCTAGGTATTAAACAACGATAATTAGATACTTAACGCGCGAAAGCCTAGGAGATCGCGTGGGTTTAGGATTTAGGATTGAGTTAAGCTAGGACTAGGGACCCTCAATGGCCTAACAAGATCCTATCTTTGTGTAATCTGAGAGATGTGAAAATGGCTTGGCTTTGTCTTTTTTACTTGTGTGATTTGTGCTTCCTGGTTGTGCGGTCTGCAAAAATGCGTAGGGCTTGATATCAATGAAAATCATGGACAATTGGCCCCTAAAAAACCAGATCCTACCAATCCTATGTTTGTGTAAACAAGTATCTTATAGACAAGGGCATTTTCCCAGACACAAATTCTACCTTTATCCATGTATGAAATATGTGAATGTGAGCAAATTGCAAATTGAAATTACCAAAACTGAGACGCCAAAAATTGGGGCAATTGCCTTGGTCCTCATGGACACAAGTATTGATGGAGTCAAAAAAGCCTCAATTTTGCATAACAGTTGTTGAGCTCAAAAGCAACCATTGAAGGTTTTGAGGAGATACATGCAATGCTTCTTAAGTTGGACCACAAACATTCTCCCAATCTCCCCTCAGCAATGAGGATCCATTGGAGAAACAGCCCTTTTGCTTATACAAAAATCCAATCTATGAAACCCTATAAAAACCTATGGCTATGGATGCCTCAAAGGAAGCACAAAAACCCACATTGGGGGGGAACAGTCTTGACCTATACAAAAATTTTCCTCCAAACATTCCAAGCAAATCTGCAAAACACAATCACATATTTTAAAAGGTTTACCAACCAAGTAGACCCAGTCATTCTGTCACATACCAAAAGATTAAAATCAGAAAAAATATATATTTCAAAGAAGAAACACAGAAAGGGAAACAAACTCCCAAATGCAATATTCCTTTTATTTATTTATTTAAATTTTTTTGCAGGGGTTCTTTTAACTGCTTTTTTAACTGGTAGAAGACCAAATGGAGGAGTGGGTACAAGTCCTGCTGCTGCTTGGGCATTAGATCAAACCTAACTTTGCTGACCGTGGGCAGAAATTTTAGAGAGAGAAAGGGTTGCCAGTGAGAGAGAGAGAGTGTGTGTTGGGTGTGAGTGGGTGACCAATATAATCCAAAGCTCTCAGTGTCCCTCCCCAAGTCCCCAAGCAAAGGGCTGGTCTGGCCTTGGATTTTGGGGTAAAAAGCCTCAGACACAGAGAGCCAAGCTCTCTCTCCTCCTTCCTCACTTATACACTCACTTTATTCTCTCTTCAAATTCGATACTTTGCTCTGTACCCATAACGAGGTTTTTTTACCAGAGACAACACCACACACATAAGCACACACACACAATACACACACACACACTCTCTCTCTCTCTCTGAATCCTGCATTGTCTTCTTGTTTCCTCAGGATCTCATCATAGTCTTCTACCAATAGAGGGCTGTCCTTTTCTGTATCTTTCCGTTTGAGTTTCCTCTGTTTCTTCTCTCTGCCAAACACAGAAGAGGGAAGTGCAAAGAGAAAAGTACCCAACTGGGTATTTTGAATTTTTACCTTGTGTTTGGAAGCTCGGAAACTAAAATGCCCAGGCACTGGACTTTTCCTTGTTCTCCCACTTGGTTTTTCTTCATTACTTGAGAAAACAGGGGATTACCCATTTATTCTGTTCTTCTCCTAAGAAAATCAGTGAGCTTTTCCCATTGTTTTTAGCGCAAAACCAGAGCTTCAACCTTTTTGGTTCCTCAGTTTTAACTTTGTTCATATTCTTCGTCTTCCTCCGCATTCATTTGTAAAAGGAAATAGAAAGTGTTGGTCACACGGAGCTGAAATTGGCCATTATTTCTGTAAATCCAGATAGCCTTATGAAGCAGTGAAACAATGAGAGATGGGAATTCCAAGAAAAGCAAGGTTTGATAAATGCCAGAACTTGTCTGATTTTGTGTGCATTTTTGTTCTGAGATTGCTGACTCTGTGTTCTTGGTGAAGCTTTCATGGCCCAAGACACTGGTCAAGAAGTGGTTCAATATTAAGAGCAAAGCCGAGGACTTTGACGCAGACGACGCCGTTTATAGAGGTCATTGGCCTATCTCTTGGTCTCATATACATGCATGATTTGGGTGTCAATTTGGGATTCTGGATTAGGCAATCTTGGATTTTTTAGCAAGATCAGAAATAGGATTTCTCTGCAACTTGTTAGCTGAACTGTTTTAGATTCTTCTATACCCTGATACACACTACCATTGTTCTACACTGCATCACTGCTAGTTTGGTACAAAAACTTTGGTTTGAATGGGGTCTGCTGCTTCTTTCTCTATTTGCAGTTCAAGATCTTTGTTTTCTATTTCTTCCTCCTACTGAAATTCTTTCTTTTATTATTATTATTATTATTTTTTGGTAATCTGAAATGTTCTGATTGTTTTATTTTTGTTTTCTTGTGGTGTTTGAATGTGTGCTCTTGATTCATTAACAGTGGAAAGAGCGCTGCTTTAACAACTTTATGGGTTTTCTTTTTCAGGTGGTGATGAAGAGTGGAGGAACACCTATTCAGAGAGGGAGGCATGCACAATCAAGAAAAGCAAAACAGGTTCAGTATCAGGCAGAGCAGTATTGCTTTGGACCACACCATTCTTAACCCTCATTAGTATAGCATCAAACAAAATAAAATTATGCTTTTTCAAAGCCTTCTAATTTCTAGCCAATTTTTAATTTGGACTAATCCCTCTGAAACTCCAACTAAATATACAGAAAGATTAAGTAAGAGGCACTCTGATAGAGTCCGAAGGGGTAAGATTGACATGGACGCATCACAAGTTACAGATGTACACAATTATAGGTACGTCTTTCTTAAGCATTGTCTTGTAAGCACTTTTTCTTTCTGGATGAAAAGATTTAGACCAATTTTTTTCGGTGAAGCCTTCTCTTCTATGTAATATGTATTGGGTTTCTCTGCAACAGTTGGTTTTATTTGTATTTTCCTTTCCGTGTGGGCACAGGATCTTTGTAGCTACATGGAATGTGGCTGGAAAATCTCCCCCAAGTGGTCTGAATCTTGAAGATTGGCTCCACACCTCTCCTCCTGCTGATATTTATGTTCTTGGGTATGTTCTGCAGATCAAGATATGTTCTCTCCAATATATGCAACATTTGTTGTGGTAACAAAATCCTCCTCAATCCTTTTGGTTTCCAGGTTTCAAGAAATAGTTCCTTTGAATGCTGGCAATGTTTTGGGCACAGAAGATAACGGTCCAGCTAAAAAGTGGCTAGCTCTTATAAGGAAGACTCTAAATAATCTTCCTGGAACAAGTGGTGGTTGCCATACACCTTCACCAATTCCTGATCCAATTGTAGAATTAGATGCAGACTTTGAAGGATCAACAAAGCAGAAGGCTTCCTCTTTCTTTCACCGCAGGTCCTTTCAGTCCTTGAGCCGCAGCATGAGAATGGACAATGACATGTCAATGCCGCAAGCCCGACTTGATCGACGATTCAGTGTTTGTGATCGGGTTATGTTTGGGCACAGACCAAGTGATTATGACCCCAATTACAGATGGGGTTCCTCTGACGATGAGAATGGACCTGGTGATTCACCTGTTGTCACACAGTATTCACCAATGTCCAACAGTGGGTCTTTCTCATTGGAGGATAGAGATAGACAGCCAGGGAACTCAAGATACTGCTTGGTTGCCAGCAAACAAATGGTTGGTATATTTTTGACAGTATGGGTAAAAAGTGATCTTAGAGATGATGTCCGCAATATGAAAGTGTCTTGTGTTGGAAGAGGATTAATGGGATATCTTGGAAATAAGGTACAAATCTTTCTAATATATGTCTAACTTCAGAGCAAGATGAAGAAAACACAGAATCTTATTCTCTCGAGTTTTCCAGGGTTCAATTTCCATTAGCATGTCTTTGCACCAAACAAGGTTTTGCTTCATCTGTAGTCATCTGACCTCTGGCCAGAAGGAAGGAGATGAACTTCGAAGAAATTCTGATGTCATGGAGATACTGAGGAAGACAAGGTTTCCCAGGGTTCATGGCATGGGAGATGAAAACTCTCCTCAGACAATACTAGAGCATGAGTGAGTCCCCCCTTTGTCCAATTTTTGTAATATTTGCTTTTGTAAGTCTTTTATATGCTTGTCTAGTCTCGCTGTTCTTTCTCTTGGATTATTGAAGTTGAAATTCTGTTAAGAAACTTGCCTTACTGTGCAAAAGTTTGAAATCTTATTTTCCTTCTGCAGTCGAATCATTTGGCTTGGGGATTTAAATTATCGCATTGCCCTTTCTTACCGCTCTGCAAAAGCTCTTGTTGAGATGCGCAACTGGAGGGCATTGTTAGAGAATGACCAGGCATGTTACCTATTCCCCTACAAGCATTGTGCTTTTCTTTCAAATGTGTTATTCTTGTGTTCCCCCTTGGGGCTAAAAAGAAAAGGAAAGAAAAAAGAGTTATGGTCTTTATTTGACTTACTTTAGAATTTTTTGTATCTGAAATTTATATGGTTTATACTCTCAGCTGAGGATAGAGCAAAGACGAGGACGTGTCTTTGAGGGATGGAGTGAAGGAAAGATATATTTCCCTCCGACATACAAATATTTAAATAATTCAGATAGGTATGCAGGTGATGATAGGCACGCCAAGGAGAAGCGAAGAACTCCAGCATGGTAAGAACAAACCTCTTACATCTGTGAAAATGGAGAAGTTATCAGGCATTTTATTGTAACATAACTATGAAAGCATTTAGTTTTTGTGATTATATGAAAATCTAAACTTGCTATCTGCTTGTGAAGGTGTGATCGTATATTATGGCACGGAAGAGGCATTTATCAATTGTCTTATGTTCGTGGGGAGTCAAGGTTCTCAGATCATAGGCCAGTTTACAGCGTATTTCTGGCCGAGGTTGAGTCTATTAACCGTAACCGAATCAAGAAAAGCATGAGTTGTTCCAGTTCCAGAATTGAGGTAGAGGAGCTGTTACCACACTCACATGGATACAGAAACACTGACCTCAATTTCTATTGAAGGCTGGCCTTCCCTTTCTGTCCAGTATGCTCAGCTCAGGACAACTGAAGCAGAATTTAATGCACTGTTACATTACTTCAGGTAATATTCTAAAATGTGGAATGCGCCTCTGTCTTCTCCATTCATTGCATATTTTTGCGGTTTAATTTATCTATAACTAAATCAAATTTTCACGGGCTGTAAACAGGAATTCCTACAGATTCAAAAATGCTATTAGTGAAGTACAAATTTTTCCTGGAATTCCAGCTCCATTTGACCTCCTGGATCAGTTAGGTAAATTTTGCCTTGTTTCCTCATATTAAAAATGATATTTTGTCATTACTACCATATAAAATAATGTTGCTGTCATGAAAAAGTTGGATTCTTTAGTCCATTAAGGCTCGGTTGACTTCATATTCGTGCATGAAAAGATAGAATATGTACTGTGCATAGTTTTTGAAAGCATGGCCGTAAAACACGTCTTCTTTCCCATTAAAGTTTATTGTTGAGAAGATTTCTTTGTCTTGTTCTTGCTCTTATCAGTGAATCTTTGGTCCCCAATTTGCAAGTAGGCACAGCGGCAAAGAAAATTCTGCCATGATGGTGATAAAGACAGTCTGTTGCCCACAATCCAAAAGAAGGTTGGCCTCTCACTTTCTTTCCTTTTCTCAGTTTGGCTGCAATTCTTCTTCCTACATTCTTTTGTCCAATTCTCTCCATACCTTCCCTCATCACACAGCAGGTACAAAACTTATGTGATTCTGTTGATAACTTTTACCCCACATGTTTGCAGGTTTCAATTCTTTTCATCCCAATTGGCAAACTTGGAACTTTCTGACACAATGGTTTTTAGTAGTGATCTTGGTAATGAGGTAAGATTAAGAATTAAATTACAAAACTTTTGTTTGGTTTCTATGACCTGTAAAAAAGAACCCTAAACTTATCCATTCATAAGAATCATAACTGACTGCAGTTGTGGTTTTTGTAGGATGAGCTGAGCTGATCCATTTAGAGGCGCCAAGTTGGTTTGACATCAAATTTGTTGACAATTCTTTTTGAATAAAAAATTAGATAAAATCAGTGAAGTGTCCAGTGGACTATAAATATTAAAAAAAGAAGAAGAAAAAAGTAGAGGAGCAAATCAACAGTGTTGCTTAGTGTTTTTTATTATTCATTTCTGTTTTTGTCGTACTGGATAGAGAGAAAAGAAGTGAGATGTGATTGATACTCATTGCTGGTGAAAGAAAAAAAGGGAAGTTGGAACATCTGATTGATATAAAGTTTTCTTTGCTTGTTGCTGCAAATGATTTTGCCTACACAAATAAATAAATAAAATTCAGTTTTGCTCAAGTTCTTCACCAATCTTTGGTTTGTATGTTTGCACCAAAATGGAAATAAACAAATTGGTTCGTGAGGGCAAAACCTATAGAAGTGGGCTCCCCTAAACCTATAACATATTCCTCAGTCTTCTCAATGCAAATTGCAATCAAAGAGCAATCCTGTCTGCAGCAAAGCAATCAAAGAACAAAAACAACCCACTTTTTTTTCAGCGGCAATAATTAAAACCCTACATCAAATCTAACAAAAAAGCAATAAATTAAACTAATTGATAAAAACTTGTCTTGAAAGCATAGAGACCAACTTGAACTGCCCATACTGAAAAATGTATGAAGTAATGTTCTCTCTTTTTGTGGGGGGGTCAATTGTGTACAGAGATGGGTGCAATTTATTGACCAACAACAACCCACGCTAGTACCAACACAACAACCCACGCTAGTACCAACACGTATTCATAATAGAATTTGAATTGCAGTAAGTCAGAAATTCAATTCCATCAAAACCAAAACCAAAACAAAACAAAAATAGTTAAATCCCATTCAATATTATTCGAGTTATAAGCACTACAACAGTCAGTTATTCACGCACACGGAAGTGATTTTTATTCGTAAATTTTACATTTGATAAATAGTGAGAATGAAATTAAGAGAGATGTGGAACTAAAAGATGAATCGTATTCATATTGGACAATGCTTTATTTAGAGAGATTTATAGATTAGGGCTAGGGTATACATGGAGGAGCAATTTCATGGTGTGTGTTGGGGCAGACACTACTGAAAAAAGTGGAAAATCAGACACTACATGAATGCGTACTCCAAGAAAGAAATTAATAGGTACTTCTTCAGTCAGTGCCACAAGAAAAATAATATTTAAAATAAAATAAATACTCGTAGACCACTAGTGGTACCTGCCATTTTTTCCCATCAAACTTTGTTACAGTCTTCAAAGTGCTGCTCCATTTTTACGCAATGGTGAAAAAGGTTAAAATTCAACTGAAAACCGCGCGCTTGAAAACGGCCTTTCTTCCCAAACACCAAGACCCGTCTCCGTCTTCGCTGGTTTTCCGTGCTCATTAACCTTTTACTTTATTTTCCTCCCTCAGTCGCTCTGTTAGCGAGTGGTGCATCACACTCCCGATGACTAAATTCGGTGTGTCGACCCAATCATACGGGCCGGCCGAGGATTGGCGTGAATTACTGGAGCGTGTCGCGCACGCGAATTGAGTAAATTTTTCCGCGGTTTTTGTACGGGCAGTGCTGGGTTGACGGGGTCCGTTTAAAAGACGGGGGACACGTGGCGGATGGGTGGAGGGCGGAGAATTTATTTATAAAAAGGAGGTCTCTCGAGGCGACAAAAATGTAGGTACAAATTCTGGCCATGTGGCAATAGAGAGGCCCACAGGATTTGTCGACTTGGACACATCATTCAAGTTCAATTGAGAGATTCCCTGCTCTTCTGTTCTGATTCTTCTTCACTTTCTCTCTTTTTGACAGGAAAGTTCGGTTTCTACGTCCACTTTTGAAAGTAAATAAATTAATCATAATTACATTGTGAATTCCCTTATTATTACCGGCACTAAAATGATTATCCAAAATTTTATTCGAATGAGTTGGATCGATGTATGTTTAATATAATTCCAGTCCACTTCTAATCGAATTAATTTTGTTTAAAGAAATATTTGAGGTATGCATGTTTGTGCAAACACCGTTTTCTTGCACTCGAGTTCGAATACCTACAAAGAGTTCAATTGTATCCAAACTTAAAAAGAAAAGGAAAAAATAAAACAGCAAAGTCGATATGCCACTTTTGCACATATCTCGAGGAATTGCTAACTTCAAAAGACAAAGTTGTGCATTAGCTGCACGCATAAGCAATGCAGTGCATGGGCAGTGGGTATGTGTTGCGGGGCCCATCCTTGATGATCAACTTTCTGAGGTTTGCTTGTTGATTATCAAATACCTTGCCCAGAATTTCTGCTTTTGCATTCAAAATGAATAAAGGAGATATATTTGACAATTAGGATTTGAACTCGGGTGTAATGAGGCGGACACACCATAATAACCAACTGACTTATCTACACGTTTGTTGTGTAAGAGTGTCGTGTTTAGAGAACTACTAACATAAAAAGTATAGTCATTATGCTTTAATTAATGAGCTTTGGATTGAGGTAAGAGTAAAGAGGGGGAGGCAAGAAATCCAAGTGGGGTGAGGTTTGGTTTGTGTTTTATGAAGCAAACAATAATCTAGATAGATTTGTGGAAGGTCTAAAGACCAAAAAGTGAAGGCCAATGGCTCACCTTCCCACACAACCAAACCAATACTATACCACAGAGAGATCTCTAGCCTCTTCTTTTAATTTAATTTAATTTTTAATAACGTAATTAATTGTCTGATTGCCTTCAATAATTTTATTTATTCTATAATTATATTTGTAATTAGCCAGATTAGGTTAGGTGCAAATATATTTGTCTCTTTGTTATTTTGGATATGTAATGCTTGGCGTGACGTGAACTGTCAACATACTCTCAGCCCACGTGTCTAATTCTTATTGGTCGAGCTTTGAACAAGACAGACAGTCTCACGTCAGCCTTAGAGGACCCGAACCCCGCCAGCTCCAGGCTCATTTAATTCCACCCCGGAACACTGGTACGGAGTCTCTATCTCTCTATCTCTCTCTCTCTCTCTCTCGGGCATGGGTGACTGATCACTAACGTGGCAGGGGTCCTCTGGCACGTGACGTCATACATCCTGTCCGATGAAATGATTGTTTCGTTTTGCTAAAGTTTGGTGGTGGATGAGAGTGGGGCCTCAAAATTTTGGAGAAGTTTTTGTAATGAGGACTTTAGACCCTACTTGTTTCTTGGTTTTGCTATTCATGTGTTTTAATTTTCATCTTTATAGGAAAAGCGATTTTATTGAAGGAAAACTCCCAACATTACAAGAAATCCTCAACTAAAACACCCGGTGTAGATAAAACAAAACGAGCTAATCTATAAGCCACAATATCGACGTTCATCTCTCATTTGCAGCATCTACATGATTATGATTTTGGAACATATATATATATATATATATATATGATGTGAATTCAGTGTTATGTCATGGTCAATAAGCCTGGTGCAACAATTTCAATCATGTACTTACTCATGCTGCAGGCTGCATGTGGTCCTAGCTATATATGCTTCTCCTTTAAACATACAAATCCACAATGATGACATATATATATTTGAATCACTTTAATCGTATCAGATTCAGAGTGAAAGTGTTCCTTCAGTGTTCTTCCGGTTGCCTTTTGAGGGGTTTGAAAAATTTTAAAATGAAAAATTTGTAAAACGTTGAGGTTGGTCCCAGAAAGGTGCCGATTCAAACCCAATGAAAAATCTGACAGTACTGCCGCACGCTTGAAGATAGCCACGGGGGTTCAGATTGAGAGTAAGTGAGGTGTGTTTATTTTATTTTATTAGAACAAAAGCACCCCCCAGTCAAAGCTCTGTGACCTGAAAAAAACCTTCTGATGATCCCCCACGCCATCACCAAACTAAACTATTGATTTATAATTACAAGGCAAAAAGAAAAAAACTCAAATACAAACCAACTTGAAGACAGCAAAATGCCAAAAATAAACAGAGAGCATGAGGGTTCAGATTGAGAGTGAGTGAGGTGTGTATGACGCCCCACCGAAACCCTACATTTTGAGAATGAGAATGGATTGACCACAAGATTAGGGTTAAACATGAAAATGGCAATGCTGAGTTACGTCCCAGGAGATGACTTCTGAGAGATAATAAAATCTAAAGCTAGACATAGGATAGGGTTCATAATAGTATACTACTTGCTTACTGGGCATGCATGCAACGTTTGCAGGCAGGCAGGCAGGCAGGCAGCAGCAGCAGCAGGAGGAGGAGGGTACCAAAGTAATAAATGAATATAAATATTTTTTTTTGCCTTTTTCATATTTATAGAGGTGTGAGTGATGTCATGGTTTAGACCGTATTTAAATAGGGTTTTGGAGAAAATTAAAGGCTGATATTGCTTGTTGTACAAGGCGTCAGTGAGTCAGACTCAGGCACACACAACACAAATGATCCAAAGACAAACAGTCAGCAAGGATAATTAATTATTTACAGATTAAAATAATGTGATCATGGTGATATCATCATCCCCATCGTTAATTAATTAATTTATTGGCATCTCCTCCTCCTCCACGTGCAAACCCTCCTGGAGGCTCTAGCTTCTTCAGTCAGCGAGCCAGGCTGAGCCAGGCCCTCGTGTTTCGTAAATTTTCCCATTTGAAGGCAACGCTGCCGATGTTCTCTCTCTCTCTCTGTCTCTGTCTCTACCTAATTCTTGTTTTTAATCACATTCGTGACTGATCATTTTGGCATTAAGTTTTTCAATTTTTGCAGATGACAAGGAAAATATTTTTTTACAACCCACTAGTTTTCCTTTTTCTTTTTTCTTTTGAGTGCAAGCAAGCAACAACCGAATAATATTATAATAAAATACTATTTTCAATTTTCACAACTTGGACAAATAACACGCTCCACTAGTAGGGTTAGACCGAGGGACTTTTGGGACATGAAATGAACAACACACCTCCTTAGCTACTACCTGTCCAAGCTCAATTGCCAATGATACAGAAGGAGGAGAAGCAAAAAAAGAAATTCATAGACGTGCTGGTTTGGTTGCCAATAAGAAGATGCAGGAATATATTAGCAACCAGTTTAACAATTGCACAGACATCTCAAGTGCATAATTTTTATATTTATTAATGTACTCTGTTTCTTTTTGTTTCAGAAACCTACATCCAGTAAAATATACTTAAAAAAAATTACATGGAAGTATGACTGGCGGAGACAAATAATGACAGATGCGCCCAAGATATATTTTAGGGGTAACATAATAATCATACAGTTGCAGCCTTGAGAGACAAAAAGTCTGAAATCTTGTTCATGTAAAAATCTGGTTGTATGGAGTTGTTAGGACTCTGAAGCACTGACAAAGTGGTGACACCTATAAGACAGAAAGGGAAAGCGCCTTAATTAGCTCAAATACATCACAAACTCAAGAAAACTTGGGCCAAAAATGCAGACTTTAGTTTAGTTACCTGAGAGAACAAGAAAAGTTTTGTAACCACCATTTTGTCCAAACAGAATATCAGTATCTAATCTGTATCCCAACCATGCAAATCTGTGACTTCACTTCAAGATGCCAAATCTGTCATTGATTAAATTCAACTGACTAATATCAGCAATTATATGACCAATAGTTTTCATCAGATCCATTGAAGTTCACTTCTTTAAGATGTCAAGTGTTCTGCGACTTAGTACATGTCAGCTACTAATTAGGATGCAAAATTACATCGCGAAAATTGTACATTCTGTTACAATAATTGCATTCTTGTATTTACAAAATCATTGATGTTTACCTCATTAGTCAAAGTCATGTCTTTTGGCCTTTGAGTGTCTTTTTAAATTTTAAGACAGGGCACATAAGCTAGATGGTTGCTAAGTATAGTGAGTGATTAAAAAGATGAGTCAATGATGAAACTCCTCTAATGTTTGTCAGAAAACAAAATAGAGCAATTTAACTTCAATAACTAAAGAATTCATCTACAGTAAGATAAAACAATGAAGAACAATAAATAAAGCATTTGACTTACTCGTTTGCTAAGTAGTCCATCATAAATGTTGAGGGTTTTCCCACAACCAGCGGCTCACGTTGAGTAGATCCACGGATAGCGCCAACCATAGAACCACCACGGTCCACCTGAAGTTGAGTATAAATTATAGTAGCTATTGAGAGAAAATTATAGTAGCTTCATCAATTCGGTAACAACCTGTTTGGCTAGGTATTTTCAGGTCCAGAAATTCAAAATTTCCCAGTCAACTTTAGAAGTTTAGGTATCATATAATCAAGTCATTTGGAACCACTAACCCATGCATCAGTAAATGGATCATAGATAATCTGATTCAGTATTCTGAACATTAACGAGTTCAATAAATTCCAATAAGTTTTTTTTATAAGATCGAATAAAAGGTGGTCGTTTTCAGTCTTATCTCCTCTCCCTTATTTTATGCTTTGATATATTGAACAGAAACAAGGAGATGAAAGCATATATAAATGTGAGTGCAAAGTGTACAAATAGGAGTGTGAAAATCGCTACCCCTAACAAATGACTTTTGAATTTTAAACAAATTCCAATTAGGAAAATCTTTACATGTTTTGCAGCATAACACAGTTGAAAATAATCTAATTAAAACACAAAGTGCAACAAGAGAGGAGAGAAATGAACCTGCCCATTCCTGAGCATCTTTGAGATGAGTGACAGCATCACGATTTGTTGCAATGATAGACATCCAGGGTTTTCACGTACACAGAGTGTTACATACCTTCCATCACATAAACATTGATTAATGATAACGGCCACCAGAGAAGACCAAATGCAATACATGTAACAAGTGCACTGCATATATAATAAGACCATAATGTTTATATGGTGTTGGCACTTGGTATAGTAACCATTTAATACTTTGTAACACAATGTTTGCATATATGCCCGAATTTGAGCACAAGTACAGTCCATAGAAAAATAAAGAAAAAAATATAGTGAATTGTGGCAGTTATGTGGCATCCATTTTTCAATCCAAACCTTCAAACATTAAAGTTTAAATATTAAACCGAAGCCCTAATAATTTCTGAGGCAAGAAGAATCTAAAACAGATGCATGCACACACAAAAAGATGATGTTTTCAAAAAATTATTATTTGGTGGGGGGAGAGAAAAAAAAAAATAGATTTTCTGGAGCAAACTGCATGTTCCCGGGAGAGGGGCAGGCAGTGATGATCCTCCTTTACTTCATCCACTGCATCAACATTCATACTAAATAATTACCAGGGGAACTTTCAGTTTCCAAATATTTGCTTTTACATCCAAAGAAGATGTAGACCTCGTTATGTCTCTCGAGCAACAATTTGCTATTTATACCTGAAGATCTTTTAAACTACAGGTAACCTTTTAAGCTTTATCCTAAATTTAAAATGAAACTGAAGATACAAATGCAAGGGAAATAATGACACCAAGTTTTGTGCAATGCTCTTGTTAGCCAAATGAATAACATGTCATTTGATTTCGCAGACTAGGATATAAAATAGAAAAAGTACAAGTAACAGCATCATGTACTTAAATGATTTCGGACTCATACTTACTGGTCCACCAATGTATCGATATCCAGCAAGCTCAAGCTCCTTCAAGATACCTTCCTCACCAATCACATAAACCTATAAATGGCTCGATCATCAGTCTATTTACATCTAAGTTCATGATTAACATGCACCAGTTAATTCATTTAGTGCTAATCATCAGGTACCAGATGCAAGGAAATCACAACAAAACAAACTTCTTTCAGAATACGCAAAACTTGGAATCTCATAGCAAACACAATTTACCATGCCTGAAAAGCTAAATTAGTATCTATCTATAACTGACAGATTTGTCTCGTCTTTAGACTCAACAATAAGTCGAAGTCTTCGCATAATGCAATATGGCTCAGATTTTCAATATTCCAGAGCCAAGTGTTTCAAGAGACAGGCTACCAAATTGATGGGTTCAACGGAACAATGAACAACCTTTAAAAGGAGTCACAGAGGTGACAAATTAACCCAAATGTCAAAATCAAGAACGATTGACATTATCCCAACAAAATAATCTCAAAATTATAGCAGAGCAGAATTAACATTACCATGATATAAGCAAGGGCTCAGATTTTTTATAACCTTAACTAAACCAAATATCAAGATCAAACGCGATAAACATTAGCACAATACACAAACTAAATTCACATTTCTGATAAATCAATAAAACCTAGCCTAAGATCAAAATCAGCAGCATTAACATTACCACAGCACGAGGAAAAAGTAAGAAAATTTGAGATCCAACGCAACATCAAAATTAAGCGAAATTAACATTTCAAAACTAAAAAGGCTCGACTTTGACAACCCAGAATCAGAATGAAGAAAATTCAGAAAACCAAAATCATTTTATAGAAACTAGAATATGAAAAAAAAAGAGAAACTGTTATAATTAAAAATAAAATAAGCAGAAATCCACCTGGTATCGATGTGAGGAGACATCGTTGGAATCGTCGGAGTCGTTGTCGATGAACTCGTAATCCACAACTCCAGACTCGTCGCTGTCCATAGCGGCTATACTATTTAAATATTCGAATATTTATTTTTTCAAATCTTCTCGCCGCACGGCTATACTATTCGTTTATAATTTATATTCAAACACTATAGCCGCGCGGCTATAAATAGTATTACCGAGCGGCTATACTATTTCAATATTCTAATATACAGTATAGCCGGTCGGCTATACTATTTTGATTTTATTTTTAAAATAGTATTACGGTGCGGCCATACTGTTTTTATCTTGGTTTTCTAAATCGTATAGCCGTGCGGCTATACTATTTCATTTTTATTTTTCCAAATGGTATAGCCGATCGGCCATACCGTTGAAGCATTCGGATATATTTAATGGTATAGCCGCACGGCTATCCTATATTTTTAAAATAGTATAGCCCTTCGGCTATACGGTATATTCTAATATATTTAAAGAGTATATCCTAACGGCTACACTATTTTTATTTTGGTTTTTTAAATAGTACAGCCGGGCGGCTATACGATTTTGAATTTATTTTTTCAAACAGTGTAGACGCCCGCCTGTACAATTTAAATATTCGAATATATTGTGACTGTTATAGCCGCACGGCTATAAAATTTTATTTTAGTATTTTTAAATAGTATAGCCGCACGGCTATACGATTTCAATGGTACATTGTGACTGTATAGCCGAACGGCTACACTATTTTATTTTAATTTTTTAAACAGTATAGCCGTGCGGCTAGACTATTTAAATATCGAATATATTTAGTATA